CAAACCTGAAAAAAATCTTAAGTTTCTATCTATGCAAGCATAAGTACAATACAGTTAATCTTAAATTATGATTTGTTGATTATTGATTTATTAAATTGATGTCTGTCTATTGATATTTTGTTTATGTCTATCCTACACTGTTAAAACATTTTTTAATTGAATTTAGACTCATTCCCACACGTCTGACGATTTGATACTTTGCATGCATTTAGAAAACTGATAGAAACACAATAACTTTACGACTATTACCTTGATAAAACGGTACCAAGAGCACTATTTCATGTGTATGCAAACTTTAATAGGTTCATTTGGCATATAACTAACTGATACTAGAACCTTAACTAAATCATTTCATGTTAAAAAAATCCAAATTCAAGCATTAATTTTTATGTATTTCATTAATTTTTAGTGGCAGTCCCTGAACTCAAGATGAAACTTTAAATTGTATTTTTTTTTCTGGTCGCGAAACCTGAAGTTTTTGTTCATTTATCTACAAAAAGTTTACAATTTAACATTGCTAATTGCTAAGTTAATGTATACAAAACATACAATACATATCTCAAAGTATGTTGTTTAAGTTCTGAAACTCATTTGATTTTTATTTTTAACTAGCGACCCGCCCAGGCTTCGCACGGGTGCAATGTATTATGTTTATACATATAAACCTTCCTCTTGAATCACTCTATCTAGTAAAAACGCATCAAGATCCGTTGCGTACTTTTAAAGATCTAAGCATAGGGACAGACAGACAGCGGGGCGGCTTTGTTTTATACTATGTAAGATTGGTAAAAGTAGAGACTAAGGCCAGTTAGAATTGAAGCTAAAATGTTATAGATATCGTATTGCCGTTTCGCTTGAAGCCACCTAATGCCAGGCTTTCCGCTTGTTTACACTTCAATCATATTATGTGTAGATGCATATATGTACATATTGATACGTACGGACGTTCAGTTGCCGGCGGCTGCGGTCGGAACCCTCCGTTGGCCGGGCAATAAATTGATTTGGGTCGAGACCGAGGGCAGGTGTAAATGAATTGGGGTGTGAAACTGATTTTATCTTTGCGCGAAAACTTTATGCGCGCAGTTAGTGCACGGTCGTTTCTCGCATTGGTGGGCGATCTATTGACCGGATAATGGCTATAACGTTATAACGGTGTAAAATCGTTCTTAACGACCGACGATTATTGTGGAAACGCTTGGATATTCTAAGTGACAAATTATTTTGTAACATTCTAAGACCTGCAAGTCGATTATGAATCTGTTTAATAATCTCAAGAAAAGTAAAATAAACTCAACGTTTCTGACGTTGATGTAACTTATCCTTACGATTCTTCTTTACACTGTTTTATACACATGTTTAAGCGAAATCCGAATACATTTGGTAGTAAGCCGAATACAGCCATTGGACAGATGTTTGTTCTATAGAATTATATATTTCATGGGCAAGTTCTCCTTTCAAATGTGTTGACCACCTTTTAATAAAATCGTCCCTGGTCACCTACTCACCAGACGAAATACAGAAGTACAACATTTCCATTAATTCACGCCTGTCTTCAATGAGGTCGTAGTACTTCTCCTGACGTACCTGCCATTCGTGCAACGGCGAAAACTGTTGCATAGCTTTACCACAGTCAATGTTGCACAGTTTCCGTGTACACTACAGTTCAGCGGGTTGGGGTCGAATGGCCCCTTTTTGCATCATATCTTGAGGAGGGTTTGATTCCCAATGCCATTGCCGATTCTGGCACTGCTGTAATTTTGGTAATCGGGCTTTTTATTCCCTCCCTTTGCGGTCTCTATCGCAGGCAAATAAGCATTTCGCGCAATACAAGAGTTATGTGCCTAGTCCGATATGTAAATACCGATACAAAAAAAATAATTTCGGCTCCAGGTTCTTCAGTAGTATCAGTTCACCCTCCTTCGGTAACTCGAGTATTTCGATCGGCGCATTTTGCGTCTAATTCGACTCTAGACTGTTATCTACTGCAGCTAGAGGTCCATCCTGCGGGGTGGGAACTCAATTCCTGAAATTTGATTTCTGTAGAGTTTGTGCTTAAAGCACTTTCCTGCCTTGATATCGGCAAAGATTTATCGGTGTGATTTTTGATAATGATACCTGCCTTATGCGTTGTTTTAAATTCTTACGAGGTGGCTTTAGCGGCGCTGGTTTAGATTGGATAGTTGGATTAGATGGTTTAGATTGGTACAAAGGTCATCTATCTAAGATAGCTAGCTTCTTATGGTCGTTAAAATTGAAATTATGCAATTGAATTATCAGTTTTCTCACGAATCAGATCATCAAGGTCGTTATTAACGATGGTATGTCCATACATGGACGCATTGCTATTTGGATCAGTATAGGTGATCTCGTACACTGGCCGTTCAAGTAAAAATCTTATACTAGGGCCGTAAATTTAATCCAACTCAAGTTAGTTTGCATTAACCGTTTATATTAAACGCTTTAGAACAGATACGGCCAAACATGGAATAATATACTCATCTCTGGGCTAAAGCACCCCAACACCGGGAATACTCCTATATTAAAACAGTGAAATTATGATTCTTAATAAAGTCCTTCGCTCTTACAGAAATATTGAAAATGGAATACTAACCGATTTAGAACATTTATAATTCACAATACTTACTAAATTTTAAATGAAAAGATCGTTTGAAATTATTAAGATAAAATCTCTTTCCATAAAGTAATAAAGTTTTTTTTTCCTTCGGAAAAACAGTTATTCTAAATGATGCTTAGGGAAAATTAGCATCGTTATTAAATCCACAGAAAATACTTGCGTTCATAAAACTCAAAATCGGATAGGCTCTGAAAAGTTCATTAAAGTCACGCGATTCACCCTTGGATGGATGACCGCTTTAGTGTTATTTATCTCAAGCGTCTACGTGCCTCTTTGGATGTAGACAGCCACTAGTGTACTTTTAAAGAGTGCTGGTCGTAATTCTTCTGTCTATTTAATGCCAGCCAATTTTACATTAAAAAAGAACATTGCAGTCAGAAATTTGCAATAGTTATTACTGTCAGCAGAATTCACCACAATAGTCATAAATTACGTCATAATTAATACAAACCTTTAATGACTGTACCCTATTTGTATTATTTTTATACGGGAAAATAATCTCCAAACTCCTGAACCTTCTTATTTCAAGTTAACGGATACCTTAATTGGAATTTCCCAATTTTTTGCTTATAAAAATAAATCAAAATAAAGTGTATTTGGAATATACTCCGGATATACTTCCATTAGAACTCGATTCAGCGCACAACACAAAACAACAACAGTATCAACAAACGGATCTAATCACATTGGCAAATCGAATTAGTAATTTTGTTAGGGTTGTCACATAAACGTATCGTGTTGAACTATATAGTACCTATCAACGTCAAAGTCAAAGTCAAAGTATCTTTATTCAATATAGGCTCAACTTAAGATCTTATTGAACGTCAACAAAAAATCTACCAGCGGTATATTAATATAGTTATATACGATAGATTGTACACAAGCCACAATTTTAGAAAATGGCGGCGAACTTTGTAATGAAAGTTTAACGTTACCACTTTTCACACTATTGAGCAGTATAGAGATATATTTGTTTTAATTTATATTCTCTGGATATATTTATTTAAAAATAAGCCCATCATAATGGTCCTATTTATAACCTGCATAGACGTGATGACTCCATATTTATATTATATTACTATGAAGATGATGTGATCTAACCGAAACGATCATACAAAGAAATTTCACCCCGATAAAACTAGAGTCGCAAACTAAATAAATAGATGAATAAATAAAGTTCTACGTAGTTTTTACAACACATCCCTATTCTATTCTATATTTTCTATACCAGTCGAAAGTTCAACGCACCGACTCACGTGAAACGAGAAATGTAATTACAATTTCTGATTTATATATACGTGGATGAATTTCAAAGGAAATTCGGATGCTTCTTGGAAATTTTCCATCCCTTATGTTATTACATTGCTTTAAATATTCGATGAAGGTAATAACGTAATCAAAGATTTGTGAAGGAATGATAATTTCGTTTAACAAGCCACGTGATATTGTAGAAAATTGCTTGATTTTATGAAGAAAAAGGTTTTCCTCGAAGTAGAGTTCATGGCACTCACGGTCTTCGACATTTGCCCTGATTCTAGCAACTCAATTCGTATCCACAAATAGGTTCAAGAATGTATTAAGATATTTTCCGCTCCATTTCTATTTTGTATTTTTATAGGCAATACTAACTAAATGTTTAGTTTTGGAACAGTTTACTATTTACCTAAGTTTTTTAACAGTTATCACATGTGAGCTGTTATCATTTTAAAAATATCATGTATTTGAAATCTAACGTTGAAGAACGAATATTAATAAATCGAAATTGAATATAACTCGATGTTGATAGCCATTGTGTCAATGTCAACAGTTATCTTAAAAGTAAATACAGACATTTATGAAAAACTTATTCATCTTAGCGGGAGTAATTCCCGTCAGTCCTAATAAAGAAACAGTAATATTTCATTATTATTAAGTTTAGGAAGTGTAAATGGTTAGGTCCTAATTGATTTCCATTCTGTCGACTGCACTTGCATTTGACTGATTTGCCGATCTTTTATTATCTTGTTTTATCTGAACATATAAAGCTTCGCCTAATACATGATCACTTGGAAAAGCTAGTTTCCACGAGTTGGTCAAACAGCGAAAAGAAATATACAAAACACAAGTACCTATGTGTATTTCTTTTTAAATATTTCATTAGATACAGAGGTCTTCAAATATTTTGAAAATTTAAAATATAAATACTGTATGAATTAATGTCATAATATTTTTTTGTATTTGATGCGAAGATATTCCATTAATTATATTAATCTCGGCATTTGAACTTCCGTCGTATACTTAGGTTGAAGCCTAGGTTTTAATTATTCGGTGGTAGTAAACCATCGAGATCAAAATCGACAGACTATGGGAGAATTTGCTTGCGCAGGCTATACCAGATACGCGTGGGCCTCCGCGTGTCGCCAAAGGTCCCGGTCCACATCGAGACTTCGGTGTCCAGTGGCAATGGCACGGGTAGGTCCGGGCGGCCAACGGCCAACGTCTCCCTCGGTGGTGTGGCCGCTTCCAGAGCCTTCCAGATCATGTACAGAAATGAAGAGGTCACGTTACGGGACATCGTGCAGTTTAGAGCTCATCTGTTAGGTGAGATATTTCATTGTTTATTTTCTTGATTTAAGAGTACAACAATATAACAAGCGGTTCACGTACTATTTATTTGTATATGTCAAATGGAAGCTGCCGCGAACGCCTACAACTACAGATGTGCCGCTGGAAAAGCGTAAAATTATGAATACTTATAATTTCTGCCGGTCTGTTGAAAGGTGATGTCGTCGAGCCTTTCATGGTTCTGTCACAGCGAAACTTTTCAGTTCTCCAATGCTGTTGCTTAAAGCATTCAAGAGGGATCAACTTGAAACTTGTTTCATAGCAAAACTGTTGTTTAAGAAGCATAACAAAGACTAATTTCAGAACATGACACAATTCTCTTAAGCAAATCTTAGGCAAAAAACGACTAAAGACGACGACGCTTTCGCAATTTTTGTTATATCAAAAAATTTATTCCAAGAAAAAATATAATATAGATATTGTGTCCATCTTTTTAGTGGATAGTCGCAACCTCAAAGAGTCCCTGGAAAGAACGGAATGGAGCCTGGGCGTCGAGCTATGGTGCAGCGAGGGCGCTCAATCCAGTACCCTGGCTCCAGTGTCCTGTCGCGTCCTCAAACTGCACTTCCAGCCTTCCCAGGGGCTCCATTACCACTTGCCCGTCCTGTTCGACTACTTCCACCTGTCGGCTGTCTCCATCACGATTCACGCGAGTTTGGTTGCTTTACATCAGCCCTATATCAAGTAAGTTGCATATTCAATTTACTGTAAAGTTGAATTGTTAACGCTTGCTACGAGTTCTTTGGTGAGCACATAGAGTTTTTTTTAAAAAAAAACTATGTGCTCACCTGAACGGAATAAGGTATTCAAAGAGGCGCTATAGCTTCAATTATAAAATTTAACGATCTCTCACAAACTTTATATTTAGGGGAATATAGAATATTCAATGTTATCAACATTTATATTATAATTTTTAATGAAATGATAATTTATATTATAAATAAAAATAATATTTATAAAATAAATGAAATATGTCTTAGATCTCGACACAAACATTCCTTGATTGAATCTCATATAACTGACTTAGCGTTACCTGAAAGGCGCAGATTTGAATATTGGCAGTATCGAAAAAATTTTTCGACAATTTATCTACACATTTTAAGTGACAATAAGAAGTTAATTTCAGTCTGTGCCATATTACGAAAATGTTATTTATAGGAATTATGAAATGTAGTCAAAAGTACAGCATACATAAAGCGAGTATATATTTTCCCACTGCTGGACAAAGTCCTATTCTGTACAAATGGTATTAGGGCACAATCCACGCAACTCCACTGCGGATTAGCAGACATTACATATTTTCTAATTATTTTTTTGGTATTATTTCGGATATGCAGGTTTCCTCATGATGTTTTCCTCACAGCTGAGCATACGAATTTAGTAGGATAGCTTACATTTTTATAAGTAAATTATGCTTAAACTAGTTTTAAATGATGCTTTAGTTCCTTAGAAGTAAATATTTCGAATATTTAAAAATAGAGGTTATAAAATGGTTTTAAATTTTTTGCATGCTGCTACGAAGAAAAAGCATCATGCATTACGTGCAAAGTTGGTAAGTAGTAAGAATTGTAAAAAACTTAGCAGTAATAATTTTTCTGTCATAAATAAATATTTTATTCACGTAGGAAAAATGTTTCCAAATTTCCACCTTTGGGCCAATTTTAAAGAGGGACACTTGATTATTTCTGAATTTTAGCACCCCGCGCTCAAGCAAGCAATGGGGAAAATTGATGAAGAACGCGGGTACCAATTTCAACGCTTCGGGCAGCTTCGAGAACATTCTATTTGGATCGAGCGGGAAATGTGCAGGCGGCAATTCAAGCAAAATAGCACACGCTAGGTGAAATTATTTTAAATGAGTAAATTAAAAGTATAAAAAAATAATATGAAAGCAAACAAATAATCAAACAAATAATCTGAACTAATCACACGAGATTTTGAATTTTATATATTTTCTCGTATTATTTATGGTATTTTCAGACAAGTACATGCCGAAGTGTGCGGCATTCTCCTAGGTTCTCTAGAAGGCCTGCAGAGCGCTCTCGCTGTATGTGGCTCCACTGGTGTGCTTCTCACACCTGAGGAATCTTCATCCAATTCCATTGTTGGAGAAGTAGCACAGAGGATAAAGGACCTTAGTGATAACAGCAAAGTAAGTATAAAGTACAAAACCTTTAATCTTAAATAAATTCAAATGATACTAATACGAAATATATGTTAGATCAATGAACCTAAAACTAAAAACCTTAAAAATATATCTCTATAAATGATGTTAATTCCTCTGGGTCCCCGATGAAAATGGGTGTCCCACAAGGATCAATCTTGGGCCCGTTATTTATTTTTTAGTATATATTAATGATCTCCCCTTTTATGCCAGTGGGTTGTGTGATGTTGTACTGTTTGCTGACGATACATCGCTAATTTTTAAAGTTGACCGAAACGTATTAAATTATGACGACGTGAACAGTGCACTTTCATATATCCTCCACTGGTTTACTATTAATAATATGGTATTAAATGCTAAAAAAAACAGATGTATTCTTTTTACCCTTCCCAGTATAAGAATGAAAGTTTTAGTTTAATATTAAATAACGTACCCATTAATCCAGTTGAGTCTGCTGTATTTCTGGGAGTCCCCATATATCATATCTTGCGAATAGGCTGAGCTCCGCTGTTTTTGCGATTAGAAGGGTTACGCAGCTAACAGACATCGACACTGCCAGACTTGTTTACTTTAATTATTTTCACAACATCTTGTCGCACGGCACTTTGTTGTGGGGTAGTGCATCAGATATAAATTCTATATTTATTCTTCAAAAAAGAGCTGTCCGAGCAATCTACAATATCGATGCCCGAAATTCACTCAGAGATCTTTTCAAAGAGTTTAATATACTCACTGTTGCTTTTCAATACATTTATTGTAATATTTTGTATATACGTCATAACCTTAATTATTACCTAAAGAATAGTGACAGATATAAAATAAACACTAGAAATAAGGACAAACTTACTACGCCACTGTTTCGTCTACAAAAAGTAAATAGGTCGTTCATGGGGCAAAGTGTGCGCATGTGTAATAAAATCCCACAGTCGATATTAAGTCTGCCGCTTGACCAATTTAAATGTAAAATTAAAAATCCAGTACCTAATGATTAAAGCATATTGTACCATTTCGGAATATCTCGACGATTGGCGTCGTCGAGATATTCGGAGTTAATACTGTACGGAGTTAATACTGTTGATACTCACGTAGGCTAGAATAAGACTATATTATATATACCTGTATATTATATTGTACCCTGATATTTTTGGAAAAGAGCAACTGTTGAGTTTCTTGCCTGTCTCTTCTGAACAGAAACTGCTTTCCAAACCGGTGGTACCTTACGAACCTAAATATATACATAATCTTTGATGTAAAATTTGACGATTCATAAGAGCGCGCAAGCGTCTATTTGAATAAATATACTTTTGATTTTGATGTTGATATAATATAATAACTAAACCTTTAATTATGGAAATGAAATACTGAGTGAAAACTTAGAAAAATATTAGATAAGCTATCGCATATTTCCTCTTTTTTTTTAAATTTGCCATCACTAGTGCGCACAGTTGGTCAAAATTTTGTGAGATAATGAAATGATACGAAATATTTAAATTAAAAGGTCGGAGGAAGAAGACGTCTGATTGTTATACATATATCATTTCGTTAACGAGGACTTACAATTGATCCAGCAAAATACTCGAAGCGTCGATTATTTGTTCCACGTACGTACGTACTCGTACGCTGTACGTACGCACGTATTTGAGCTTGACATGTCACTAACGCATCCACAGAAGGCGTAATAAAAGCTTTTAATTTAGAAAGCGGAGGCGGGCTCGGAGGAGGAGTGGGCGATGGGTGCGGCACATGACATCGCACGTCTGTGCGCTGAAGTCACGCTGCGATGGCGCGCCTTTCTGCACCACACGACCGACCGGCCACACGTACATCACACCTTGGCTGCTGCACATCACGCGCTTCGGTAACCTACATAATTACAGTTCGATGTAATCTGTCCTGTGTTATATATAAAAAGTAAAGAAACAGCCTATACATATCCCACTGCTGGGCAAAGGCCACCTCTTTTACAGAGGGTATCAGGGCATAGTCCACCACGCAGCCCCACTGCGGATTGGCGAACTTCACATATCTTCCAAAGTATATAATATTTTTTTATATTTTTTTTAGGACACATTCTTTACACAACGTTCTCTAGTCCCAAACTAAGCAGCGCTTGTACTATGGGTACCAGATAACTGATAAACATACTTAAACATACTTTTCTTTTGTAAATAAATACATATTATACATATATAAACACCCAGACACTAGAAAAACATTATATTCATCACACAATATTTTTTCAGTAGAGGAGGCAGGTACTCTACCCACTACGCCATTCGGGTCGTCGTATATTAAATTTCATAGTATATTTTTTTGTTATTAATTTCGAAATAATGTAGATTTCCTCACGATGTTTTTCTTCACCGTTGAGCACGTGATAAAGTCAGCACTTAAAATTAACAATTTCATTTGTGCTGGCACCGGGGATCGAACTCAGGTTGATCGAGTATACTGAATTAAAAGCGAGCGCCCGGACACTGAGCTATCACGGCTATTTATAACACGCGATAAATTACAACAAATTCGAAACGTGACGATGAACGATTGCTAGAGACCTCGGCGCCCTAGGGTCCGAATAATCGAAGACTGACATTCACATTGAACTCGTGATACCAAAAACTGTATCTTTTTATTGTTTAACAAAATAGTGCTTTTCTAATAGTTGTGCATATTTCGATCCTATGAATTCTTAAATTGAAATCAATACACTTTACCAATGCTTAACTAATGCTATTATATGCAATAAATGAATAAAAGGATTCGAAACATCACTCGAAATGTACTTTTTAATTTACCCTTCCTTGTTGGGTGCTGACGAACAACCTATGGAGACAAAGCTGATCAGTGAGCCGCTAAGAGATTTTTGAGCAGGCTACGAACATTTTTTTTTTGGGCTGGATGAGCCACTGTTGGCCTTAGGGGCCTTTACAGATCCGACGGACTTGAGGTGGCCTGGCGCACGAGGCGCCTAGCCTGAACCTCGGCGTACTATTATTATGCGTTATGGTGACTAAACTCGAGGGCTCCCGGGGGAGCCTCGGCTCGGGCCGTCACGCTATTATTATTACCGGTTTGGGAGGCCGCCAAGCTCTTAGGGCGCTTTGGCGGGCGCTCCATGGAGTGATCAGGCTCAAGGGTCCCCGAGAGGGGACCTCGGCTTGGGCTGTCACTCAGCACGCGTTTAGCATTCCGATTCGAGGGTGCCCGAGAGGGCCGGACCTCGGCTCGATCGGTAGCTATTATCTGACTGGGGGAATTACTAGTGCTAACATTACTACCACTTCGGAGAGCGTTGGCGCTGGGAGAAGAAGTGGCGGAAGAAACTCCAGCAACGCTTCTATCATTAATAGGGGAAAACCTGCCAGGTACGTGGCGGAACCTAGTATATGTTTGCCGCACTCGCCGGCGAGTGCGGTGGTGTGTGTTGGTGTGTTTCTTGAGTTTTTTGATCCTTTCGATGGCGATAGTCGTCTCATCGTCAGGGAAGTCGAGAACGTGACGCGGTCTTCGGTAATCGCGGCGGAAAATATTTAGCGGCAAGGGCCTGTAGGTGACGGCACCTACGATAAGTGGGTTGGGATGCGCGGCGGTGGAATCGAAATATCGGCGTGACGCCGACTTCAGGAATGGTGGGCAATTCTAGATCGACATGTAGGTCGATATTGCGCAGGAACCAGGGTGCTCCCGTGGCTCTGCGCAAGAATCGATTTTGAATCACCTGAAGCCGGTGTATTTGCTTCGGAGCAATGTGAGCGAAGACGGGGCTCGCGTACGTCATGATAGGGCGAACTACTGCCTTATATAAGGTCACCTTGCTCCGAAGGGACATTTTTGACGTTTTATTGAGGAGCGGGTAGAGGCGACCGAGTACGAAGGCCGCCCGGTTCTTGACCTGGGTCACGTGCTGGGTGAATTTAAGCTGGGAGTCGAGGACGACGCCTAGATATTTGACTTTATTAACCCATGGTACTGGGCTGTCCAAGAGTTTAACGGGGGGTGGAATGGGTATGTTCTTTTTGTGCGCGAAAAGGACTGCCACGCCTTTTGGCGGGATTGATTTCGATCCTCCATTGCCGAAACAAGTCACCGATGGTGATGGCCGCAGCTTGGAGGCGTCGATGGATCAATTCGGGTGTTCTGCCTGTGGTATAGATACAGGTGTCGTCGGCAAAAAGAGCAAGTTCTACATCTTTGACACGCGGCATGTCATTGGTGTAGAGAGTGAACAAGACTGGTCCCAACACCGACCCTTGGGGCACCCCGGCTCGAACGGGATGCGTAGTCGAACACACGCCCTCGACGCGATAGCGAAAGGTTCGATTACTTAGGAAGTCTCGTATTATGCGTACGAGACGGTCGGACACTCCGTACCCGTATAGCTTGTATACGAGCCCGTTGTGCCAGACTTTGTCGAACGCTTTTGCCACGTCCAGGAAGAGTGCACCGGTGTTGAGTCCACGTTGACGTTTAGTTAAAATGTGCTCCGTGATGCGGTGCACTTGATGGGTACATGAGTGTTTGGCTCTAAATCCAAACTGCTCTGGGATGGGGAGCCCTTTGGTGTGTCCATAAGGGATCTTAAGCGGGCTAATATTAGTCTTTAGAGCTAGCAGCTCGGTCGGCTGTCGAGTACATGTGTCTCGAATTTAAAAATTGTTTTAAAATATTAAACAGTGCTTTTTAATAAGTGAACACATATTTTGGACGATAATTTTAGTAGTGTTATTGGACGCATTAGTGCATTAAAAGTGAAATAGTTTTAAAGTGCAAAATAGAAATTACACATAGCAAACAGCTGATCATAACAACACAATCAGCTGTTTGATATTGCATCGCTGCAAAACAACAGCAGTGAACGGGGCCTAAATTATTTAAATGTAAGCAAGTTTAACAGTGTAAATAATATACTTGTTTGTAAACATCATTTTAATTATATTTAACAAAAGTACATACAAAACAAAAACACTCCGTGCAGTGACATCTTTTGGACTTGCTATAAACTACAGGTACTTTCCGATAAAATGGCAAATAAGTGTGGCGCCTGCGGAAGATTTGCTTCTACAATGGACTCAGTAAAATGCCTGAGTTGCATGCATTTATTTCATCGCAAAAATGTGCTGGTATTCCTATTGACGGCCGTGTATCAGGTAAATGGCAATGTAGCGGTTGTAAAACAAAACATGTATCTGTTACGCCTAGTTCGTGTAGCTCCGGTGGCACGGATACTGAGTTCGGCGACGCACAGCCCGGACCCAACGAGAGAGGGCACTGTGAAGACAAGGTTGACTTAGCAAACGAGTTAAAATTAATACGCGAGCAGTTAACTACTATTGCTCGTGAAATGGTATCTTTTCGCCAAGAAATTGCTAACATTAACTCCAATGTTAGTGAACTAAGCAACAAGGTCATCGACGTCGAGAAAAGGGTCACATATCTCGAGCAGCAGGCGATGGATATACCGAGCCAACCCGGAGGATCCAAAGTCGAAGAAAGCATAACAGAGTTAAAGTATCGACTTAATGAGCGGGATCAGGAATTGCTTTTAAACGACGTCGAGATATCTGGTGTAACAGAGCTTAAGGGTGAAAACCCCTTGCACCTCGTCACTTTGCTTGCCGCCAAAATAGGCGCTGAATTGGATGAGCGCGATGTAGTAAGCGCGAGACGTATAGGCATACGCCGCGAACAAATACCAGGCAGCACCGATAAGCCGAGGCCGCGTCCGTTGGTTGTCCGTCTCGCTCGTAGAGTGATACGCGACAAACTAATTCATGAAGCGCGTGTTCGGCGAGGTGCGGATACTGCTGGTTTGAACTTAAGTGCCGAGCCGCGCCGATTTTATGTTAATGAGCGGCTTACCTCAATTAACAGGCAACTGTTTTATAAGGCACGGGAAGAAGGACGGCGCAAAGGATGGAAATATGTTTGGACGCGAGACGGATGTATTTTTGCGCGTCGTGATTCTGGCTCACCGCGTCATAGAATTCGCACAGAAATGGACATAAATAATTTTTTTGCGGAATGAATAGTTTAGAGCGAGTCCTGATCTTCTTTTTGTTTTTATTTCTTGCAAGATGTTTGTTTGGGTGCAGTTCAGATTTCCATCACAATCATCTCTTTGTTGTAATTTTTCGTACGCATCTATATTATAGCTATTACAAGAACATTTTATTTTTGTTTAGAGTACATTTTGTTTCCACTTTATTATTAAGCTACATAGAATTTTTATTAAGCTGTTGGGCTGCAAAGATTAGCGAAATATGGAGTAATTTTTTTCAATGTTATTTTGTAGTTAAACTTTTCGGGTTATTGCATTTATGTTTTGTTTTAGATCATAGTGAATATGATGACAGATTTTATATTTATACTTTAATGTGTAGCAGCATAAAGGGAATTTACGGAAACGTATTAGGGCGTAAAATTTTCAGTAGTCGAATAAAATGTAAAGTTGTGTGTTTGTCAATATACATTGAGATATATTTAACCGTATATAAGCAGTGGTGTCAAAGTCTAATTTATCATGTTTACCTTTGGATTATTATTAATTTTATATTTTTCACGTTTTATTTATATGAAAATGATTAAGTCGAATAAGTTAAAAATTGGCTTCTTAAACCCTGGCTCTCTCGGTACTGGACACGACGAGTTCATAGCTGCTATGGCATATCACTCGGTAGACATTATGGCCATCAACGAAACATGGCTTCGGGCAGGGGAGGAGGGGCGAGCGCCTTGCGTGCCGGGGTATCGACTGCGACACGTTCCCCGGCCTCCCGAGGTTCGTGCGCGCGGTGGGGGTGTGGGTGTTTTTTATCTGAGACAGGGCTTATCATCACGAATTATTCAGCATCCGAGTTG